TCACCAGTCTCTAGTTGGTTACCTACCTGATGACCCTATCCCACCAGACTCCCCCCTTATGTGATCACCAGTCTCTAGTTGGTTACCTACCTGATGACGCTATCCCACCAGACTCTCCCCATGTGTGGTCACCAGTCTCTAGTTGTACACCTACCTGATGACCCTATCCCACCGACTCCCCCCTTATGTGATCACCAGTCTCTAGATGGTTACCTACCTGATGACCCTATCCCACCAGACTCTCCCCATGTGTGGTCACCAGTCTCTAGTTGGTTACCTACCTGATGACCCTATCCCCCCAGACTCTCCCCATGTGTGGTCACCAGTCTCTAGTTGTACTCCTACCTGATGACCCTATCCCACCGACTCCCCCCTTATGTGAACACCAGTCTCTAGATGGTTACCTACCTGATGACCCTGTCCCACCAGACTCTCCCCATGTGTGGTCACCAGTCTCTAGTTGGTTACCTACCTGATGACCCTATCCCACCGAATCTCCCCTTATGTAGTTGTACACCTACAGGGCTTTTTCTAGGTAAATTGGGAAAAGGCCCTGGAGTGAAATTTGGAAAAATCATCGACATATCGAGAAAATATTTCCTTCAATAAAAGACAATATATTGACAAAATTTTCATTCAAATTTTCTTTATTTCCTATATTTGAATACAAAGGCAGGATTCTAGATTTTTTGTTCCTGAACTTATTGACCAGAGAGTCTAGGGCCTCATCAGTCAAGTCAGAAGGACCCTCAACACAAATTAGCATCAGACTGGACAAATGTCCCTGTGCTAAACAGCTCTGAATAGGAGTACACAGTCCTTTCATCATACTGAAGCCTCTTTCCACAGAGGCTGTTGATGTTAGTACAATGTTCATCAGTTCTAGTAGGGAGGATGCTCTTGGAAAACAGTTCCCCATAACATCATTCCTCCCGGGGGATAAAAGGAGGTCTTGGGGAGTAAGGCACTCTCCAGTCTGCCTGAAGTCACAAGTTGGAATGGTCTGCTGCATGCCGAGACCTGTAAACTGAACAATGGAAGAATTCATCTTATTATAAACATGTTAGTTACAAAACAGTGAAACCCAACAGTCAGAAAAACAATGATAGGAACAAAGTTAAAAACGATCCTTACAGTAAAGTTGTTTTAGCATGAACTATGTCAAACTTAAAAGATATACATTTCCAGACACAAAACTGAAGTATTCAATTTAATGTAGCATCAATGTACTTTTCAATATTATTTTTACCTCAGCATATACATCTGGTGTTTGGAACCCGTGTGTTCTGTTTTCAGCACATCCAAAGGGTCAATGTCTGGCCCACACCTTGTTACATGGCCTTTGATATGGTTTTCCTTTGGGGTTGCATAGTGATTCCCAAGGGTCTGAATATCTGTCGGTTAGGATGTGAAATTAAAAACTTTTAATGTAGCACTCTTAATATCTGACTTCCAGTGACTTGAGAATTCGAAAAAGCATATTTACTGTGACCAAAGAAGTTCACTTTTTTTTTTATCTATAGTATACCATAATATACTAGTATGCTGACTGTTCCAGTATAGATAATCATTAATAGGATAAATAAATTAGTTTTCTCATAATCAAATAAGATTAGTTTAGATATTTCTTTTACCTGTCCATAGTCTGGAAGAGCATCTAACTGCTGTGGTAGGCATCTCGGATCCAGAGCTTTAAATGCTGCGAATACAGGATGACCGACAAAGGCGCCAGTCAACTCACCAATTCGGCTATTGATAAGAGGGACACCAACGGTTTCCAAACACACAGCTGGTGATATATTGTGGCGTTGGAAGTCTCTGCGCCTTCTCATTTGGAGATCCGTTCCGTCAACTATTTCCTGAAACAGGCTGTCAACTTTGGCGAAATATATGTCCAGGTTCTGGTAACCAGGGGCCTGAAGAATACCAGGTTGTGGTAACCAGGGGCCTGAAGAATACCAATCAGGGTTTCAAGTTCATTGGTGGTTGCTTTCACTTTACTCTAAATGTCCACAAAGCAAATCTTTGGACCTTGCAAGTATTAAGGCATAAGACAATAACAGAATCATAGCAACCACACCTCTGTTTGTGATACTAGCACGAAGCACAAATACCTCTGGCTCCTTCCGTACTTGGTAAAAGGTGTCGAGCGTATCGAGTATTGCTTCATATCTGTCTATGAAGCAGACACATGCCCGGCCACGAAACAAGCACCTTGTTGCAGCCCTGATCACATTCAATGGCTGACATCCATACACTTCTTGGACATGTTTAAAGACAGTAAACCTCCTTGGGGAAAAATGAAAAAGTTTCCATATCGCCAAAAGTACCTCATCAGTTTCAACCACCTCTTCGCTAGCCAAGTGTTCGCTTCGTATACAATCCACTTACCCTTGGCGGATATAGACGTGTTTACTGAGCCTTCAAATTTTCGTGCGGTGCCAATCGCTCGCATCCAATGAAATTGCGTCTTAACTATAGCGCTGTTGACGATGGAAAACAGTAATGGCGACGCCCTGTACGGAAGCACGTTGTCGTTTATGTCAGAGTATTTTGCTCCCAAAAAGTAGACGCACGATCTTTGGGGAAACTTCTGGAGTTTTAAATCAGTTGGTGGAAATCCTTGACCTCGTGCCACATGTAAATGATGACCTGGGAAAATATGAGTGCTGCCTTTGGATTGTTTCTATATTGCTCTGTCATTTATACTCCGTCTCCACATACACATGCTTTTGTCAACATGCCGATGGCTTGTGTATGTAACGGTCATTCTGATTGGTTAAAAGTTTATTGGGAGAAGAACGATAACTCTGTATATCCGCTAGGTGGCAGTGGAGGGAATTATGAAAACACAGCTATATCCGCCAAGGGTAAGTGGAGTGTATACGAAGCGAACACTTGGCTAGCGAAGATGTTTCAACCAAGACTGGATACATTTTCATTAAATGTTTCAGACATAACGCCAAGCGATGGCTTCGGCAATTCATGTACAACAACATTGGAGAAAGATTCCTCATTCTTCTTTGTAAACCTAAAATGATACAATAAAAAAATAATATTAGCATTACTGAATTCTGACTGAATAAATTATGGATATTATATCCCTTAGGGCCGTCAGTCGGAGTCAAAGTAGCTCAGGGTTTCCCTCCAAATAATATCAAATACATTTTTTCATTGATGAATAATCATTGAATATTAAGTGACATCATTGATGCAAACAGACAGTTTGAATTATTCTAAAAGTAGATACATTTATAAATGGATATTTTTAAATAGAAATGTTATAAACAGCAGTCAAATTTATTACTTACCTGAGGTTTCACCACTCATAGTGTTTGTGCCGTCAAAGCCAACAAATCTGCACCTCAACACATCCAAGTTCTTGGCTAAAAGAAACTGCTGTATGGCCTGTAATAAAGACTCGCTGTCTGTTTTTCCAACATTAATTAATCCTAGGACATGATCAACTGGTGGTATAGTTTGACCTTCCCTACAAATCCATTTTCCAAAAATGCTGAGTTGTTCCCTGTTTTGTTCATCAGCAAGTATTGTGTAGTAGTCGGCATTTCTAATTGACAACAGTCCCTGGTTTTCGATATATTCACCAATTATGTCAATAAACTCTACAACTGAGGTATCAGATAGGTATGTTGCATTTGTGGGTGCAAATTGAGGATGATGCTGTTTGTCCTCAACACCAAGGGAAGCGACAAATTTAGCAAAATCCTCAAAATTTGTTTCGGCCCATCGCTTTCTTGCAATAAAATACGCAGTTCTGAACACTTTTTTTAATATTTCTCTCTCTTTACTGTCTTTCGACACAAGCTGCTCAATTACTGATAGGTTTGATTACTTTAGAGTGACATTCTGCAAATTTCTCACAAGCTTTCTTGTGACTTTCACTTGACTCGTGTTTAACAAGCTTCCTTGTTGGGTGACTTCCGAGTTGGACTCCAGTATCCATTTCGGGCTATCTGTAGAAAACATCACACAAAATTTGCAAATTTATCCATTTTTATAAGCACTCCAGTATAGCCATTGGTGATTAAACACATACCGATTGGAATCAAAAGTCTGCCTGTCAACTTTTATGCAATCCGACAACGACTCACCATATCCATTCATATAAGCACTCCAGTATAGCCATTGGTGATTAAACTCATACCGATTGGAATCAAAAGTCCGTCTGTCGACTTTTATGCAATCCGACAACGACTCACCATCATCTGAATCACTTGATTCACATGCGCTAGCAGGATCATAACTAGGTGTCCGTTCAGGAGATTTGGGGCCTGAGGGATTGTCAGCACCTGATGGGCCTGCCGTCTGACGCGGGTCATTTTGAACTGCAACATCCGGTTCCGATTCCACAGGATCTAAAGTACCCGACTTTATGAAGAAAGCGTTTTCTGCATTGGCTTGCATCGCTTTTTCTTATTGATTTCACATAATACTTGGCATTATGGGAGCACATGACCAACAGCTTCAAACATTATCGAACGCATCAACTGATCAACAACACAAGGCCAATTAGATGCTTGGTAAAGGCGCTTACTGAAATACTCTACTTTCAAACTCTCCGGTGACTTTGTGTATGTAGATCAAGAAGACGCTTTGTGTTTTCATACCAAAAGAGTACATTTTTCCTGTCGTCCATCAACAACCAACGATAACGTGTACATTGTATTTTTTGTTCTGAAATTTTTATTTTGGTCATAAAACATGTTTTTAGGTCCAAATGTGTAATATCACCAGACTTTGGAAAAAAATCTTGAAATTGGGAAAAATGAAGCCTAAATCTCATTGGGAATGGGGCCGTATATTGGCCCCTGAGAGACCCTAGAAAAAGCCCTGACCTAACTGATGACTGTGTCCCACCCTAAACTCCCCTTATGTGGTCGCCAGTCTCTAGTTGGTTACCTGCCTGATGACCCTATCTCAGCCGACTCCCCCCTTATGTGGTCGCCAGTCTCTAGTTGGTTACCTGCCTGATGACCCTATCCCACCAGACTCTCCCCTTATGTGGTCGCCAGTCTCTAGTTGGTTACCTGCCTGATGACGCTATCTCAGCCGACTCCCCCCTTATGTGGTCGCCAGTCTCTAGTTGGTTACCTGCCTGATGACCCTATCCCACCGAATCACCCCTTATGTGATCACCAGTCTCTAGTTGGTTACCTCCCTGATGACCCTATCCCACCGAATCACCCCTTATGTGATCACCAGTCTCTAGTTGGTTACCTCCCTGATGACCCTATCCCACCGAATCACCCCTTATGTGGGCGCCAGTCTATAGTTGGTTACCTACCTGATGACCCTATCCCCCCCGACTCCCCCCTTATGTGATCACCAGTCACTAGTTGGTTACCTACCAGATGACCCTATCCCACCGAATCACCCCTTATGTGGTCGCCAGTCTATAGTTGGTTACCTACCTGATGACCCTATCCCACCAGACTCCCCCCTTATGTGGTCACCAGTCTCTAGTTGGTTACCTACCTGATGACTCTGTCCCACTTAAATTTCCCCTTATATGGTTGTCACTCTCTAGTTGTACACCTACCTGATCACCCTATCCCACCTGACTCTCCCCATGTGTGGTCACCAGTCTCTAATTGGTTACCTACCTGATGACTCTCACCCGACTCTCCCCTTTTGTGGTCACCAATCTCTAGTTGTACACCTACCTGATGACTCTGTCCCACCCGAATCTCCCCTTGTGTGGTCGCCAGCCTCTTGGTTTTGGGGTTGTATTCTAGGACGTAGAAGAAAGAGTCTGGCTCTGGTTTGAAGTCTTTAGCAGCACTGAGGTCGTGGTACCGACTGACTTTACACCTCCCTCTGTCAACAGTAAAGCATGCATGATTGTGAGTCTACCAATGTGTTATTGCCACTAAATACCTGTTAATTCTCAGCTGTACCTTACAGCATGATCAGAGCTTAAACCCTTATCAATCAATACTTAAGTGATTTCTAAAACTGGTTTAACAATGGTCACCTCATCATTTCCGCACGTGGTCATATGATTGTTAAGTGCTTATTGTGATTCAAATTACTGCAAATTTAAGATTATATTACTTTCAAACAGAACTATAGAAATTTAGATAGTAACAGATTCAAGATTTCATATGTCTTTGCTATACAAATATCAGAATTTACACTAAAATTGGTTGCACAAGAAAAATGAAAAATGTTGCTCTAACGGACAATTTTTACCGGTTATGTAACATGTAGAAGATTTGATCACAGAGTTGCCCTCCCCAGTCTTGTTACAATACACATTAAGGGCTTCACTCATCATGATCCTTGTGAAGACTATTGGTCCTGTCATCAACAGAATCAACTCATTTTGCTAAGGAACCCAACACTTGTTTGGTTTTAGATTAACTGAAATATGGTTAACAAATTACAGCATTGACCCTACAGGTTCTCTGGAAATACGATTTAATATTAGATGACATCACGTTTTTCTACATTCTTATGGGTTCAATCAATTTGCAATATTGACTCTGTGTTACTAATTTTAAAAACATGAGGTCAATATTCAATTATGACATCACTTTAATTGTAATGCCACCTCTGTCAAAAGCAGTTCTGTTCTCTTGGTGTTTCGCTTACACTCCTTAATTTTCAATGTTTAAAGCACAATAATTTTATGTCTAATGTAACTATGTGTTACATATAGGGCTGTCACAATATATCAGAAAACAGGTGTATCGCGATACACGGTTTATATCGTATCGTACCACAATACAGAGATTAAATATTGCTGTATCGCAATATTTTCAAAAGCATATTTTTATGTATCTGCTTGGTGTTTTAACTTTGCAAATTACTACAAATTCTAACAGATATGCCAATAAGCATAAAGCAGGCTTTTAATAGTTCAAATTTTGTAATCGATGGTTGGTTTGACAAAAATCTAAAATCTATGTAATCCATTTTATATATGATTAAGTTTGATAACATTCTGACAACAAACTATTATAAAACTGAGCACATCCTTCCTATCGCAATATATCGGGATATGTATCGCAATATATTCATTCTGTATTGCAATATATCGTGATACACTCTTGGCGTATTGTGACACCCCTAAGCTACATACATGGACCTGAAATGTGATATTGACCATGTGATTTCATCTTGGTTTGTATCTCTATCTCAGGTCAATATAATTTTAACCACATATTCATTTCAACCAAAATCCATAATTGATAAATATAATAGCAGTGAGTGTCTAATAAACTAAGGTACTGACCTCAGAGCCTTGACAGGGTAGCTGTCTGATGCATCGGATATAAAGAGCTCCCTGGAGCGAATGTGCGGATCTGGTATCAACGATTCTCTCCCACAGCCTGAAAATACACAAAGGTAATGACGATTAGTGCATGTGTCACCCTGGTAAAATGCTTGACACCTTCCTACTGACTCGGTTAAGGTACATTGGGTTGACAACTTCCTACTGACTCGGTTAAGGTACATTGGGTTGACACCTTCCTACTGACTCGGTTAAGGTACATTGGGTTGACACCTTCCTACTGACTCGGTTAAGGTACATTGGGTTGACACCTTCCTACTGACTCGGTTAAGGTACATTGGGTTGAGTGTAAGGCTGTAGTTACCGGAGGTCCCAGATTCAACCCCTAGCGAATGGTGAGGCATGGAAAGAATAATGACCTCTGGGTCACAATTTCTTCAAAAAATTAGAAACTATTCATATACAATTATGTCAAAGCCTGCAAATATACAAAAGTGACAACTGTAAAATTTACACAAAATTGTTGTGGAACCATTTTAACCCATGACTCCAAATGAAGGGGCGATGAGAGTTACCTGCATTTGTGACAATGTTTTATGATGTATTACACTTTTACACCCCATTATTCAATACTGTTATAGTATATGCTAAGTATATTAAGAGCTAACGGTTCAATAAACAACCTCATTAAACAAGACAGTATCACTCAACACTACCATAATTCATCTAATAGCTTCTATTATATAATGGTAATGCAACTAATTAATTCAATGGAATGCAAATACACACACTGTTCTGGTCCCTGTTCAGCAGCTTGTATACCACACAACAATGGATTCCGTTATGTAAATAAGGAATCAAATCAACTTTCTCAGTTTGACTTTAAATTGTTTGAATACTTGATTGTTTAGATGGCGACAGAAATTATGATCAGTGACCAGATATTTCTAGGACACCATCTTCCTGTCATTGAGACTTGCAGTCTATGTTCAGTCTAAATACTGCCCAGGTGTCTCACCAATACCTGGATTACCCTGAAACTAGGTCACAGAGCTGTCCCCACTGTTTCCAGCACTCTTTTATATAGGATGTACATCCCCCATCAATATCAATCACCAGTGCAACTACACATTATTCTGGTGGCCAGTTCAGTGGTTTTGTATACATAATAAAATTTGCCGGTAACATCTGAAAGTAACATAAAGAACTTAAGGTACTCACATGTCACTAAAAATAGCCCAAATACAAAGCTATCAAAAATCTATTGACTTAAAACCCCCAAGGCTGATAAACCTCTCAGGATATCAGTACAACAAAAACAGCAGACACACAATTACAACTCTAACAACGTCACCTTCTGAATTATCCATGAATAGCAGAACACTTTCTAAGGTTTCATCTGTAACGGGATGGCGGCCATGTTTGTTTGGGGTCACAGGCAAGTAAAGCTGGTCGAGGATTCACAGCCACCTTGTCTGGTATCTGTCTAACACAAGTAGGCCAACCCTGCCTCCCCTAGGCCCGAGACACAGCAGTAGTGACAACACAAGCATGTGTGTGTGGAGGGCTGTTTACATTAGGTTCCGAGGCCCACGTCTCACAGCCAGTTAAAGCTGTGATCAGTGTAGGAAGGGAGGCAACAGCTGCAGCCATATTTTAACACATTTTCCCCACAAAGAGAAACATCTATAGGCACAACTAATGTCAAGAGAGACGTTATTAACAGATTACCTGTATTGATAATTTCATAAAATGATTTACCTATCAAACTAAGGTTTTATCTCTTGATACAAGGAGAACTGAAACAAAAGTGGCATACAAAAAGTATGTGCCAATAAGCATCAGTTTTGAGAGTAATTTAAAATGTTATTTATATATTTCCCAGTGATTTTCTCTTATTTTTTGTCAGGTAAGCTTAAAAGATCAAATTGTTTAAAAGCTACATAACTATTAGAGTTATAGTATATCTGTGTCTGATAAATAGTTCCCTAATCTGGATTTCGCATAATTTTGTATTCAGTTCACACCCAAATACAATCCTTACACTATAGATATCTTTGTATTTCGACCAGAATTGAAATAAGGATAAGTGTACATATTACTACTTTTGTGAAATATTGATCTACACCTTTATAAACAGTATGGTTTGAAGCTTTACAGTAGTAAGCTGGCTATATAACTTCACAATAAACTATTTAAGGCTCTTGAGTTACCAATATAGGTAGCTGGTGACCTCCTTTGTCTCTGTTCATAGGTACCTGGTGACCTCCTTTGCCTCTGTTAATTGGTACCCGGTGACCTCCTTTGTCTCTGTTCATAGGTACCTGGTGACCTCCTTTGCCTCTGTTAATTGGTACCTGGTGACCTCCATTGTCTCTGTTCATAGGTACCTGGTGACCTCCTTTGTCTCTGTTCATAGGTACCTGGTGACCTCCTTTGTCTCTGTTCATAGGTAGCTGGTGACCTCCTTTGTCTCTGTTCATGTTCCGAGTTTTCCTGATTTTGATTCAAAACTCAGAACATGAACAGAGATGATGGGGGACACCAGCGGAGTCATCCTTGTGACCCGATACGTATACTGACGTAACAGGGGAGGGGGATAGATATACAGTGTTCTCCCCAGAACATTTTTGATGCACTATGGCATCTATTTTTTAACCCTTTCATCACAGCACAGACCTGCAAATCATTTCCGCGTTGCAACCAATCAATTGTGAGCGAAGCCACTTTGAGAAACAAAACTCTTAACAAGAATTAAGAAAATGATAATATATATAGTTAATTCTAAATAAAAAGTATTACTTTAATCTTGACATTGCATTATTATTGTTCATTTTCTTGCCCTTTTCTTTTTCTTGATCATTAAGTTTTCTAATACCTACAAAACAAATAGTCCGACTCAAGAAAATGGATAATTTTAGCAAATAGTACTTCAGCATTTCCTTTCCAAGAATATCATAATAGAAATAAATGTCGGAGGATAAATAAATTATAATAACATTTCCAACCAAAGGTATTTTTAAAATTCAACTTTAAAAAAAATCCTTAGTTATGAAATTAACCAGGCCTAGCTAACTTATCATTAAGTAAACAAAAAAATCTAAATTTTATCACAACAATGCTGTTTTCAATAAAAATTATGAACATAAATAGTGATATATTTATCCAATTGAATTATTGTAATTATCAAGTAAAAGCAATATTTTATTGTTACTGTCAAACTGGGAAAATAAAACCATGTGCTATTAATAAATTTGGTGCCAAAATGATTAACGCTCCTCACCTATGTTTCAAAAACCATTGCATCACGGTTTACGTAACATTATTCAGGTTATCAAAACATGTGGCTGCCAAGTGCAGTCTGCTCATTTACGACACAGGGGCTAGTATAGCACTAGCCCCTGTGCTTACGATCTACCTATCTTACTGTAGCCAAATTTATTTCAAGTTTTCTATATAAAAGTTTAATGACAATCTTTTGTTGATAAAAGCTTCTCACATAGCTTACTTATTTAAAGCATTAACATTTGATGGACGAAAACAATACAGCAAAGGTAGGTCAGCAGACCTTTGTCATTTTACTGAAAGCTATTGTCTGAACTTCAGTGTTTGTATTTCTTATTTTGGTTGCAGTCACCTATGAAAATCAACACGTAGATTGAAGCCTTGAAAATTAACATACATCACTAATTATAATTAGACGAATTACACGCTGGCAATGGTGGTCTATTGTTCACGTTTCACACCTATACGTAGCTCACATCCAGGCCAGAGTTTGATGATCGGGGTGTCGACCGTAGACAACTATACACAGCTAGTCTTAGGACAGGGAGTCTAATTGGAAAGGTCCGGAGAAGAGGTTAAGGCCTATCATGATTTGTGAGAACTTGTCAGTTAATGTGTAACGGTCAAATGGTGATGCGTAGCGGCTCAAAATTCATTTGTAACGGTACCTTTACGCTAAAACAGCCTGGGGAGAGCACTGTATACAGCCTACCTATCAATTGGCGAATCGTACTGGGTTGAGTGACATAAATAATATACAATTTTGTCACATCGTTGTACAGGTAAAAAATACAAATCGCTCACTCAGTCATAGCTTGACAAAGATTCCAGTCGGTATTGAAACGTTTGATATGTACCACGTTTGTGTAGAAAGTAAAACTTTGATACACATATTTCCAAACTGATGAATCTTACTGAAGATATGAAAATCGTAACCTCTTGTTGATTACAAACATATATAGCTCCTCCAGGTGGACAATGTTAACTTATGTTGATTACCAAAGGTGTAGCTTCAGGGTTATACTGAAAATAATAACCTCATGTCAATTAAGTGTTCCTACCAATTATAATTGACTCTGAAATTATTAACATGATGTTGATTAGAAATATATAGCTACAGGTTACCACGGAAATTAGTCTACTGATAACCAAGATTATAATCTACCGATAACCAGGATTATCTACTGATAACCAAGATTATCTACAAGTTTAAGTACTGGAACTGGCAACCCTTTATTGATCATTAATAGCTAATAGTGTAGTTAGCAACTTCACGGAGGAGTACTGAAAAAGGTGTTCCTACAGTTTACAACTTACACTATAATTACTAAGCTACTCATGTTGATTTCAGTACGTAGCTGTAGGTAATAGCTGTAATTTGTATCTTCTGATAAATTTATACACAATGACAGGATATGTACATACTCTGGTCCACAAGTTCAAATCTGTGCTTCTTTGCCCCCAATTTATCCCCAACTCAAGATAAATGGAAACTTCCCCCATATGTAATTTCTCATACATGCATGATTAAGTATTCAATTTGAGTGTTGTAAAGGCCGGTTAATTGTGAAGATAAAACACACACACGGCCCACAAATATCTAACATGTGAAGCATACATAAACATTACATTTCCCACATGAATGTCATAAATAAATGCCGACACTCTATCCTGTCAAAAAGGGGATTTAGATTAAGCGAACATAATCGGTGGAATCCTTTAGGTAAGGTTATACATATCAACTGTGTATTAAATACGCTCACTTTTCTGGCAAGTCTGAACCAGCCTGAGCAGGGATATGTTTATCCTATT